ACTTAAAATAATGAATTACTTGATTGCTATCTCTTGTATATATTACTGTAAACTAATTCCTGCACAACATTATTATTATTAATTATTATTATTATTATATTAACTTAAATATAGTATTAATTAGAAATGAATTCACAATTGGTTGTAATCGTTTGAGTTTTCAAAACTAAAATCATAAAATATTATTATCATTATTATTATTGCTTATTATTATTAAATATTAAACAAAAAATGTTATGTTTTGTCAATTATTTTCTCATTTTTCCATTTTCTTTATATAAATATATAATTAAAGAAATGTTTTCAATCATAAACATGTGATGTGAATCTCAAATTTATTTTTCAAAACCTTTAATACCATTAAATTGCATCAAATATTGGTTCAGTTTTTAATATGAACGAAAAGTTGTTAATATTGTCAGTAGTTTGATGTCCAGTATTATAGATATAAATATTTCAAACGTGAGTTTAAGGGAAGGCTAATAGTCAGCGAATTATATAAAAAATGTAAAAATTGAACATTTTTTTGCTTTTTATCTCTTTTTGCTAAAATTAATTCTGAGTTATCTAACCGTCGTTGACAGAATACGTACTGTATCTGAATATCGCTAAATTACAATTCTGTACCGTAGCCCAGTATTCACCACTAGGTGGTCTAGGTATGGAAGTGTATCGAAGCGGGCATTGGAAGCAAATTTGGTGTAAAAAGCATTTCTAATAACTCGGAGTCAATTAGTGTTGGCATTCAGTGTATGCAACTGTATGTCCGCTTCGGTATTGCAGTATTGGTTGGGTTGTCGTCACAAATGATGCACTCATTCATAGGTAGGTTTCGGAGCCGTCACTCGAAACTAAATAAATATTATGAACGCATATATCTATTAGTGAACGATAGTGTGATAGTTGTGGAGGTTTTCTATGAAATGTCTGTTAGGGTGGAGGACAGGGAGGAAGTGGTGATTGTGTTGCGTCTGTATTGCGATCGGAGCTCAGGACTCAGGGCTCCGTAAATCCTGCGAAGCCATGACTTTAACGCTTAAATCAGTACAACTGAGTGACAGTATGTTTCTCTCCTCTACCTGTGCTTCATATGCCATAACTATCTGAACAGTCGATACAATACTGGAAAAATCAAAACTGCTTTTGGAAGGGAAGAGCGGAAAGGAGTGCGGAAACTGTGATGAGGACAGGGGTTCACAGACACAGGACGTATACTTCGATGCTTACCGGCCCTCGAGTACAGTAGGGATGCATTTCGTGCATTCAGTACAACACATATACTGTACAGTACGGTATGGAGGGGTACGAGTGCTGTGACATCGCACGGATGGCCAGTGCAGTGCCAACAATAGGTTTTATTTCATTTAAACCACATCTCTGTCTGTCGCACACCCTTTACGCCTAACCGACCAAATGAATCAAACGTATCAAATGAATCCATTGGATGCACAGCACAAGCCATTGCTCTCATACCATATGATATCATACCATCATTTCGTTAATCTTTTTCATTTCATTCACAATATGTTCACTGGTTTTTGTTTAACTTTAATCTATACCACCGAAAGCCCTACACTTGGCTTAAGGTTTTATGACTCAATATAAAAATTAAATGTTTAGTTAGTTTAGGATTATATTTAATTTAATATATTCTGTTTGAGGACAGGTATTACATAAACAGTGTTCTAATGCTTTCCAGTAGTGAAATATTATACTAAAATTATAAGACATTTTTACAGAAAACCCCGATTGAGACCATATTTAACTAGATATCTAACGATGAAAGTCAACAACGATTATTAATAAGAGATTATTTAATAGTAAAAATTGAATCCAATTAAACAGCTATATCAAATCGTTTAATCAAAAGCTGAATCAATTAATTAAAACTAAATTAACTGTACGTTTACTCTATGAGAGACTGAATGAATGCATTCATTGAGTCATAATATTTACAAAACAAAACATAAAAGTTTGCGAATAAAACAATTTATTTAAAATAATACTGCATTTAAAGCAATGAATTAAAACTTAATTCCCGATAAGCCGTTGATATATCAAAAGAAATTAATTTAGATTAGAAGTGCTTTTGCTTCAAATAAAATATAAAATATAGTGTATTAGCGGATAAATGATAGCTAACAGAGTTTAAAGTGGAGGTAATGTTTATGGGAGAAATTTATAGCCATTTATAAGCCAACAGCAAATTGTAGTGATAGCCGAGGGCTGAGTACAGCCCTAAACGCATCATTTGACAGAAAGCCAGTAATTTGCTCAAGAATTAGGCGTTTGTTGTAAAAAAGTGGTAAAATATTCGGTACGCTATCCTTCCCTGTGATGAGGATTCCAGAGCACAGATACCACAGACTGAGAGAGCACTCACTCCTCACTACCTAAACGTTAAGACCATATGTGAGAAGATCACGACTTTTAGTTCAGTTTTAATACCAAAACGTTGTGCACAACATTTGGCTCCGATCTATGTTTGATGTCTTCAAAAATGACTATCAAAATAGAAATTTAGCAAAATTTTCCATTCATCAAAACATTATGCGAATTATCAAGTATGCCATTAATGCCGTATAAATATAATACAGTGAAAACTCTAATACTATTCACAGGTACACAAAAAAATATTTGCGCGGCTGTCAAAGTACACTACAATGATGTTTATAAATGCATTGTCCACATTAGATCTTACTATGAAGTGATTTTCCCATTTTATTATTTCATTTTGACACAACAAACAGCACAAAACAATTGGTAGCAATTAATTAATTAATTAAATAACGAATAATGAGACAAAATATTTATCATAGAAAATATATAACACAACAAAACATATTTTAGGAATATTTGTAATTTTTCTGATTTATAACAACTAAAATAATAAGATGAGTCCACTTTGTAATTAAGTATTTAGTAATAATTGTCAGCACAAAAACAAGCAATTATAACATAATATTAGAGTATAATTAAAATTAATACTCTATTATGGACTCAAGGATTAGACTAAAAGCCAATTTGCGGTTATAATAAAAATTAAAAGAAGTGATTATTTGCCAATTTATATACATTTGGTATACAATTATAAAATAAGAATTTGTGATAATGAATGAAGTTTGTAGTGAAGGTCATAACAATTAACGCTATTTGTTATGTTTTATTCAATTAAAAGTGAAAACTCTTGAAAGAAAGAAATTCAATCCCTTTCGAGAATATGATATTTCCATAAAAACTATTTGCTATAGAATTGTGTTGAGAATAGATGTAGTGATGGATTTTTTGTGTGCATTCATTTACTCAAACATTTAAAATGTATTTAAATAAATAGACATAATATTTGTTGTCAAGTGTTTGCTTCCCTTATAATAAACATTTAGTTAAGAGTTGTATTGACTGCTACTTAAGAGTTTCATTTATTAAATGCAAGGATCATAAACTTCCGGTCCAAGTATTGGATGTGCTATTTATGTGTGTGTTTTATGCCCAGAAATGTCAGACAATTGTCTACAAAACGGCAAAATAGGCTCTTCTTATTCTCAATCGCCATTCATTGCCATTCAATGCCATTTCAGGTTATATTTCCGCCAATTTTGGCCAAACACTCACTCTATGTACACCTCATATACCTGTGCCGCATATCTAAGTGCAGGTGTTTTTGTGAATCCAATGTTTTACATTCAATTTGAGAGGTTTAGGGCCAGTAAGTTATGCCCTGTGCGGCCCCTCTCTCCCTAGTCTTTAGTCTTTTGCTTCAATCTCTCCTCCGATATATTTTGGACGTTTTTGTACTAAAAAAGTGACTTTTATATTGATTAGTGAATTCCACTTTTAGTGCACAACTGTGTGAACACATCTATTATTATTATCTCATTTTAAAACCTAAATTCTTGTCAATGAATACCTTTCTCTCTCACACTGTATAGTGTAGTGTATATTCAGTTATACACATGTATTCGCGAATACAAAGTGTATTGAATTGAATGTATGTATGAATTGACCGAATCATAGACCTATCAGTCTATGAGAAGAGCTACTGATCCAAACATACAGTATATCCATCGAGTATTTACTCTTGTGGTACAGCTGTTTAAAACCAAATTAGCTTTTAGTTTGTTCATTGAAAATAATATCATAATATTGTTGTGCATCTCATATGCAGGTGCTTACTATACAAGCAAATGAAACATAAGTTGCTATAATATCTGTTCGTCTCTTTCTCTCTATCTATCTATCACTCTATCATTCAGTCTATCTGTTTCTGAAATACGTTTTTTAATAATAATTTTTTATATAACCTGAATATAGAGCCAATTTGGCTGACAGTTAAATGCAATCCACTGTTGAATAATTATCCTATAGTGGAGTCGATCCCTCATTAAGATTAATACTAAATGAGAGTTTAATTTAATGAAATAATACATAAAATATAAATAAGTTAAGTCCGTGTGATTTTGGACTCCACTCCTACGCACCTGGCATTACATTGCCTGCCATTGCCTGCCATTGCCTACCATTACCTATTGCCGAGCCTCAGGCAGATGCTCACCACCAACAGCACCACTGCCTCAACATTTACAGCATATACAGCATACATACCATACCTTATACTCCAAGCCATTAGATGTGCAAATAATAGCTAACAGAACAGTGATATTGATATGAATCCTATGCTTATATTAATCCCAAAACTCATTTCTAACAAAACATATTCTAATTTTTGAAACAAAATATATTTTTAATTTACTTTACAATAAGTCTCTCAAAGATATATATTTTGTATTTCAATTTATTAATTTATCTCACATTTACTTCCCTTCCAATCTCTCTCTCTCTCTCTCTGCCCATCGCTTGTCAGGTCTTCGTAGGTCTTGTAGAGGTGACACGGAATTGGAGGACCACATGAAGACCACAGGGGGCCAACTATTTAAGTATTACCTGTAAAGTAACTTGAATTTAAATTGTTTTCAGAATACAACCCAAAATACTGTATACATATTCAATACAATCTTTACAACTATACAACTCTACACTATTGATAAGATATGTACCGTAAAACCAACTCACACTTCAATATCTCAATAGTTTCAGGTTTAACTAAATTTTCTATTAAATACTCTCTATATTAGTGTAAATTATAATAGGAAGACATTCAATCCTTGAGAGAGAGAGAGAGAGAGAGAGAGAGAGAGAATTTCTAATTAATACTATATTTAAGTTAATATAATAATAATAATAATTAATAATAATAATGTTGTGCAGGAATTAGTTTACAGTAATATATACAAGAGATAGCAATCAAGTAATTCATTATTTTAAGTTAACATTGTATTAACGTCTGACACGTCAATCAATTGGTTTGTTAATTATTAATATAACTCACAATTTTAGGTATAATATACTTCTGTTGTGTATTAGAACTTACGGTAAAACAATATGTTTTTGTATCTTTAGTACTAATTAGTACTGAAACACTCTATTAGATATTTAATAACAGTTATGGTTGTGTTTTGAAACAAATTTCATTTAATGGTATTTTATTATTCAATTTTTATTTGCCATTAAGTCTTTTCATTAAGAACTCATTAGAAAATGGTTTACTTTAATGTAATATATATTTTCATAATTAATTTGTACTTTCATTTAGTTTTCAAATTTAGAGATTTTATATATATAGTGGAAACCAGCAGTTAATTGAGTTTGAAATTTGAAAAATACCAAAAAATCTTCACTTCTCCCTTGTATTTGAAAAAGCTTACAAATATTTCAATAGTTTTGTTTTGTTTTGAAAATTTATTGTTTTAAAATAATATATTATATGACATAATATTAATACAAAAGATCAACGCTTTTATGTCTTAGCATTGGTAATGAAAATTGTTTGAATTTTTTCATGTATTGTTTAAAGTTCTTTGAATTTAATACTGTGTTTATATATCGGAAGGTATTATAACAATAATTTATTCGCAGCTTTGGTTTTTAGAAAAGTTTTCACTTTTACACATATTTTCACATAATATGTAATGTTTTAGAGAGAAAAAACAGTGTATCAGTGTTTTTGTGGTGTTGTTTGTCTAATCATAATTCATATTACAATTGAATGTTTTTATTACATAATTATGAAACCCTGTGTTTTTGAAAGGCTGAGGGATTGTGAACAAAATCAGAGTGTTTAACAAAAACAAGTCAAGCGTATGGCCTAATCATTGTAATTGTCTTATGTTTGAGCTGTTGTAGGTCTAGTGGGTCGACACGCACTGCAATTCCCAAAACCAATACACACTAATCCTGACAGACCTGACAGAGTTGCCAGAGTTGACGGCCCGAACAGGCCTTACAGACCTCTCTTTCTCTCTCACAAACTAATAGCTGTAATCGAGGCAAAAGTGGCGCAAATTAATAAGGAAATTGCTTTCATAGCCTTTCCACACACTCTTGATTTGAAATGAACAAAAAATCTTATATATCATGTGTTTTTCTATCTCATATCAATTATAAAACAAACGTTTGCTTTAATTGTTATTTAGAGTTTTAAAAGCTTAGCAAAGAGTTCAGGAAAAATAATAATATTGTATTATAAGTTGGAATAATTGAGAGATTACTTGAATTGGTTTTTTATCTACAAATTTGGTTTTTTGCTGATTTTTTTCATGTAATTATTGAGCTCTAAAGTCAATTATCAGTCACAATGTAGTGATATATTTATAATTATTAATACAAATTTGTGTTGTCTTTAGCAGCTGTTTCTCTTCGATTAAATATTGTCATAAAATAGGAGTTTGAGTCCAATTTTAAATTACTTACATTCTTGAGATGAGATAAGGATTTTTTAGTTTTGAATGTTTGTGGTTAAGCGCACGTCTATATTATTTATATATATTTATAATACAATTGTGGGCACAGAATACACACAAAGCGTACAGAATTCATGTAATAGTGTTGTGTTTGGTTGTAATAATCATGAGTTGCATCTCATTCTCATGTCTTACAAATCGATACAAACATTAAAACAGAATTAAAGTCATTGTCTTTTGAGAGTCGAAAGGAATGCAAATTTTGTACAATTGATGAAATATATCGAGTCTTTGATTGGTTGCAAATATGTATGCATTTTGAATAAAATTACACTAAAATGTGAATAAGTCCTACATATGTGATAACGGCATCGGCGGCTCTCCGGACGACGCGTAATGGCTCTGCATTTGGAGTCGTTGTTGTACGGCATTGGGATCGGTATCACCCGGAGGTAAATACATGCTAATCATGTCCCTTAAGTCCGTATTACACGGTCCTCTTCGGGCAGCCGCGGCCACTGCGGCCGCCATCGCGTTGGGAGAACTGCCGCTATGGCCCGACGACTCGGACTTTATGGATGATCCCGTGGCCGACATAGGACTGGCCGATGAACCCATGGTCGAGTAGGCGGAGGACATGGGCATTGATGAATAGTTGGACGAGCCGTTCATGTATGGCATTGCCATCGAACCGGTGGTCATCGGTGTGTGAATCTGTGACATGTCGTACCGGCCGTAGAGACCACTGTTGGCAGCCATAGTGGCGGTGCCATAGCTAGCGGCGTGTTGTTGATACGCCTCGTGCATAGCCATACTTGGGTACCCATTAGGCATATAGCCATTCATCTGATACATGTCACGACTCACTTGCTGTACGGCTGCCGCCGCGGCCGCCGCAGCCGATGATCGGCTCGGGTCTTGCGATAGACCGCCCAAACTGCCCGCCAGAGGGTATTTCTCTTTCTTCATCAAAGTCTTGGTCTTCCTTCGGGGTCTGTATTTGTAATCCGGATGTTCTTTCATGTGAACGGCTCTCAATCGTTTCGCCTCATCAATGAAGGGTCTCTTCTCTACTTCAGACAACAGCTTCCACTCCGCGCCCAATCTTTTGCTAATCTCCGAGTTATGCATCTTTGGGTTCTCCTGAGCCATCTATTCAGATAATTAAAGTTTTCCATTAACACCCGCGACAACTCAACTCGCATACAGTAATTGCTATTTAGCTTAAAATTGCAAAACTCCTAATACTTTAGATACACTCAACATAACATATCTATACATATTTGTACACATTCTGTGTATTCTTGCATTAAACTAACAAAATAATACACAACTCTAACTAAAACTATGATAAGAGAGTGATGTATAGGGATTGTGGGGAAAGAACGATGAGATAATGTATATGAAGATGACTTACTTTTCTGCGTTGTCCGCGACTCCAGACCATGAACGCATTCATGGGTCTCTTCACGCGATCGATCTCTTTCTTATTAATTGAATTGTTTGCAGAGTTGTGTGAATTTTGTGGCCCATTGTTGCTGTGATTGCTGTTTCCTGAGTTGGAGTTAGTGCTGTGATGGTGTGATTGTGATGTGGGTGTGGAGGTGGGTGTGGGGGGTGTCATGACCGAGAGTGGTGTCTGTGCCGAGTGGTGGTGATGGTGGTGGTGGTGATGGCCAAACGCCGACGCCTTCAGGTCGTGTTCCATCGCGTGATGAGTGGCCGTCGGTGTCATCAAACTGAAGGGCGCGTACGGCGAGGGGTAGTCGCGGTCGAGGCCCGCCATTTGGGCGGCGGCCGCCGTCGGGTGGTAGAGGGCCGTCGTGTTGGCGCCGGGAGGAGGACTCGGCGGCGAGGAATAGGTCGGTGAGAGCACTGCACTGCCACCAGTGCCGCACAGATTACACAAACACTGATAACTGTGGCGATCAATGTTTTTCTACTACTCGACGATTGTATCGCAACAACCGATTACTTTGAAATCAAGAAAAAGTTTCTCAAACTTTATTTCTCGTCAACGAATACAACCAAACGATGTATTCTTCTCTTCGGTGTCAAGAATCGGACAGTTTTGGTAATTTTGGGCCAAAACTATCGATTAAATGAACGCTAAATGAGTGGATCAGTTGCGGTGACAATCAGTGTTGAGGGTACGATCGGAAACCAGAGAGCGCTGTCTCGCTTAGCATTGATTGCATCGATGTATTGATGAGAATCTATGAATGCACTGAAGAAGTGGTGAAGGGTTTGTCTAATACAATACGATAGGACACTATGGTTACAAAAGTTGTCTTTCAATAGACTTGAATAGACTTAAGTCTGAAAAGTGTACACAAATACGGCTCACAAATACTGGATGCGTCTGTTGTGGAGAAGCACTTGTGAGAGTAATGGCAAACTTGAGGCCAAACTAAACCATTATTGATTGCCAGAGCCCCGGCTTAGGCAGCGCGCAGCCAATCCCAGTCCACCCGGTCTGTAAGCCCTGCCATTCGTCAACCTCTCGGAGTGACGTCGACTGTCTTCGGGGGTCGACAACACGGCTCACCAATGGATCGCATCCCCTCTATAGGAGTGCCGCCCTCTCCGCCAGCATCACAGGCCTCAGCGCTCTGGCTATGCATTCCCTGAGGCACTGCTATAACAGAGCTGTACTTCCAGTCGAGTAAAGCTGGTTTTGAGCGCAGAATAGTTGCACAAAAAAACTAGAATTAGAAACATATGCTATCTTTGCCTGTGCTCTGCCTCTCACTGGCAACTGTCCATATAATCATTGGCAGCACATCCACAGCACATCCAACACATACACCTCACCAGAAGGTATATTTGCTCTAAACCTCTGCACCACTACTACATCAATACATATCATAAAAATACTAGAATACTAGTCTGTAATGCAGCTGATTATTGAATTTCTATACAATTGAATACATACTGAATGTTAATGCACTCACAAAATACCAATTCATATGACTATCAAAATATATATACTCTATGTTTCTGTAGAATCTATTTAAAAAAATAGTATTACATTTCCACTTATTATTCTTTTAAAATCTAATTAAAACCTAAAAGCGAGAGTCGTTTTGTTTATAATAAAATCAATTACGGAATACAAGTAAATAAAACACAAAAACAACCGCAAAAAGACTACAATAAAAAAGTGTAAACACATTGAAAAGTATTTAAAGAATTTATTTGTAAAATTCATTGATAAAAAACAATAAAAGTATTTGTTTAAAAGCATTTATGAATAGTTGTTTGAATACAAAGTATTTAATTGTTCACATAATTTGTATTGTGTATCCAATAAAAGACATATTGTGTGGGACTGTTATGAATAATATTTACTATAATATCACTAAACGGTTAACAAAAAAAGTATTATAACTAATAAGAGAGTTGATAATAATATAATTTACATTACATTTAAGATTATTATTATTGAACAACAATATGCACCGAAAGTTAAGTGTATTCTGTATTCAATACAATACTTATTTGACGAGAGTGTCAATCGAGTGGTGAGTTTTATATGCACTTCAATTGAAAGCATTATATTATATTATATTATATTCAATGTATTATTACATTATATTTATTATGATTATAGTAAGGGCTAACTATAACTCCGTGTCTAATCCACAGCAAAAAAAAACGTATTCTTTCATTGAATTGTATGGTTAAAAGTCAGAGCAAACTTTGTTACTATTGTAATGTTAACAAAATAGTTACACAAAGAGCTTTGCAAACCATCATCATTGAGGGTCTGTCCATGTTTTAGATATTCCTCTAAATAGGAAATCAGTCGCTTATATTCAACAATATATTTATTGTATATTACATTGAATACAAAATACACAAAACCATATCGTATTAAGAGTACATTGTGTCTCATAGAAAAGCATAGTTAGTAATTCCCATTATATCCTACAGTCCTTATAGTGAGTCCTATTGACCACAATGTATACGAGAAGATCAAAACCCCATATAAAGGTAATAAGAGACTCACTGTTCAATTGATAATAATAGTTAAGTTAAGGCACTTTTGCCAGTTTTGTCACCATTCAAAACATTCACTCCATTGCCTTTAGAGATGGTAAAAGTGCTACCATTTCAATACCATTCCTTTGCTCTTCCAATACCTTTTCATTCAAACCATTCCCAACACATATAACACATTATTATATGACTCTTCGCTTTCCCAATCAAATGACATCAACACAACCCAACATCTCTCTCTCCTTATAAACCGTTCAACAAAATTAAGTTCAATATCATTGAAAAATTCAATCAATTATTTAATATAATAAAAGTAACAATTGTTTNTCCTGTACTCCTCTCTCCAGTCCTTTACTCCAATCCATAACAAGTATTTCTCTCTCTCTCTCTCAAACATTTCTTTCCCCAATTCAATTCATTTTTTCAATTTGGTTGTACTTCACATACAAAGCATTTCTAGATTTTTAGTAAGGATTTGTATTTATGTCAAAATCAAATGCGGAAAATTATGCACAAAAAATTTGATCGATTACTCGTTTACCCATTTTTTTGTTTGAAAAAACAGAAATGAGAATAAATTTTCATTTAACCTGTAATTAGTTTTTGTGAAACAATTGTTACTTTTATTATATTAAATAATTGATTGAATTTTTCAATGATATTGAACTTAATTTTGTTGAACGGTTTATAAGGAGAGAGCACTAGTCGGTGACCAAAACTATATGAATGTAAACCTGTTTTTGATGGTTGGAGTGGTGTTTGGGAACAGTTGTGTCGAACAATTAGGTCCATCTCTCAGGTCTATTTGGCAGAAATTGTTTGCTTCGCTTATACCATACCATACCATACCTTACCTATGAATGTGGTGTAAAAACCTTGAATTTCTTTGAAACTTAAAAAATTAGCAAAAGATTTATTGGTCAGTCGTGTTGGTTAAGGGGATCGGCCCGCAGGCTATCCGTAGTGTTTGTGGCCGTAATATGAATGGGTTTGAGAGTAAGCACTGGGCACTAGAAAACTAGGTATTTGTGTGTAAAATAGTGAATGAAAAGGTGTGGTATTTAGAGCTACGACTTTTCGTGAACTCACGCCGTGTTTTCTGACAGCTTCTCAATTGAACGGAAGTTTTGTATCATTTGGTTTTCGCTCTGCAAAAACGTAAAGCCATAAGAAAAATGGTTGTAGAGATGAGACAATTCACAAAAATCGGGTTAACATATATTGTAGAGTATTGATGGTCGATAGCCAGTGCCTAATGCTGTGCTGTCCGGTTGCTGTCCCGCTGTCTCTTTGCCACCTCTGATAAATAGTGACCACAATTGTGAACCGTTTGCGCCAATTAAGTGTTACCAACACTTCTCTGCCATTTCATGCTTCTCTCGATTCTGTGCATACAATTCTGTTGTGCGATAAAAATAATGAGTTTCTCTACTCTATTGTTATTGAATGTGTATTGAATGGCATTAAAATCACTCATTTATTAAAGTGTAAAACATTTTCGAAATGAATTTTATAATAATAAGAGAGAGACTAAAATTGAATGAAAAACAAATTACAATAATTATTGTTTTTGTATGCATTTTGATGCTTAATATTAATAATTAAGTAATAAATTGAATGACATATTCTTCTGGTAATGCAATCTATAATTTCAGTCATAATTTAATGACGCGTTCAGTCGTTACCAACAAAAATGCTTTTGAAGGCAATACTAAAAATGTCTCTTAAGTTGTATTCCTTAATAACACGACTGAACACAACACTAAAGAATAGGAAAAGAACTTAATTTTCTTTTTGCCTCAAAAGAAAGCCGAGAGAAGAGAGTAATACTTGTTATGGATTGGAGTAAAGGACTGGAGAGAGGAGTACAGGAGCTGTGGAGCAGAGATGTAAATAGATTGCAGATCTCCTGTACTTTATGTGCTCCTGAATAAGAGGGTCACAATCGTATATAACAGGCATTAATTCATAATGCATTCAAGAATAGGGATTATAAAGAGGGGACAGTCATCTGAATGTCGCGTTCCCAAGCACTACATTACTCCCTATACTATACACTACACCACATCTACTCAACATTTTCTGTCCTATGGATCACCAAAAGCACTGAATACAACTCACGGCCCGAAGAGAGAGAGAGAGAGAGAGAGAGAGAGAGAGAGA